CTCCAGTCTTAACCTACATCAGATTCCAACAGCCTCTCAGTTAAGACAGTCCCAGGCAGAAACAATCATCAGACAGTGACCGATGAAATGACAAGGACTTCAGGAGCCAACTTACAAAACTGAAACTGAGTTAATGATAACCAGCCCTCAGCCCACAGGTGTCAAGACTAGCTGGGCTAAGGAATGCTAGGCATGGCAGGGGGCTGGTCACCCCTGCTGGTAGGCAGTTAGGTATTAGCAGGCCTGAGAGTCAAAGGGGTCCTAACCTAGCACGTACTGCCAGTTAACCAGACTTCAATGTACATAACACATTTATAGTCACTTGTTAGGTCTCAGACCTAAAGCAACCCCACAGAGAACAGTGACCTCTTAAAAGTTATATACTGTGCCTGTCCACAACAAGCAAACAGCATCCCTGGGGTTTCTGCTAAATGCGCAGAGAAAAACACCATGGTGGGAGAGAACACTCAAAAAACACATAGTAAATCCCTTCAAGTTGGGCAAACTACGATGATATCTGGCACCACCGAGTAGCTGAGGATTGTCAATAAATCCCAACTTTATAAACTTTTTCTTAAAATGTATTTAGTACAGGATCTATAGGGTATCACTACACATATGGACTCCTAGTGATCTTCCTGTTTTCAGTCACCAAGTGTTGGGATTACAGGCATGCACCACCAGGCCCAGGCTCAGTCACCATCTCAGTGGGCACCGGGACAGGGCTGGCACTGAAGGCTGGGGATCAAACCCAGGTCCCTGCACCCACCTAAGCAGGTGCTCTAGTCCACTGAGCTATATGGCTTACCCCTAGTCACTGACTGGTCACAGGCCCATTGTGCCTGGTTCAGGGCGCCTGAGGGCAGGGATGGGGACATGTGGTACTAGGGATCCCTGCGCTTGCCTAAGCAAGGGTGTAGCCCGCTGAGTAGCTCTTCAACTTTGCAAACTTTTGATCACAGGAAAAAATAAACTCCAGCAACTCAAGCTGCAAATCAAACCTAAAGCAGTTTTACTGTCACCTACTTCAAAGTTTGGATAATTTTAAAATTGTTTCCTTAGGCCCGCCTGATAGCTCAGCAGACTAAAGCATCTGTTTCGGCAGTACGCAGCAGTTGGGTCCAGTGCAATTGAGACTGAGCATGGTGGCACGCGCCTGTAATCCCAGCATTTTGGAAACATAATCATTGTTTTTAAGCTAGTCATTTTTAAGGAGACAGGAGGCCAAGAAAACAATTTTATTTATTTTTATTTTTGGGCTGGGGAGATGGCTCAGTGGAATAAGGGCTTCCCTGGCAAGCGCAAGGGCCTCAGTTCAATCCTCGGTTCTGCAAAAAAACAAAACAAAACAAAACAAAACAAAACAAAACAAAACAAAACAAAACAAAAACCAACACAATGATTTCGAAAATTTCTCCTTTTCTTATCTGTTTACATGTACTGGCTTTAAAACATGTGAAAGGGGAGAGTTCAGTACTACAGAGCTTGCCTAAGATGTGAAATAGGCCCTCAGTTTGAGCACAAGCAAATAAAAAATAAAAAGACATGTTAGAAGGGCCCACAGATAAGGTGTAGCATCAATAGGAATATGTCATCATTACTAATTTAAAAAAAAAAAAAAAAGTGAGGGCCATGGAGCTAGTTCAGCGGACTAAGCATCTGCCTAGGCAAGCACAAGAAGAAGGGCCCAGGTTTGATCCCTGGTACCACCTCATGGCACCCCTGCCCTGGGCACACTGAGCCAGCCACCACGACAGGGCATGGTGGCACACACCTGTAATCCTAGGGCTGGAGGGGCTGAAACAAGAGGATCACTATGAATCCAAGCTGCGTAGCAAGACTCTTAACCACATAAAATTTTAATAAATAAAATATAAAGTGGAAGGGCCAGGGATATAGCTCAGCAGCAGTGTTTGCTGACTACTGCAAGGTCCCAAGTTCAAGTCCTGGTACAAAAAAGAAAAAAATGAGAGAAACCCAGGACTCTTCCTAGAGTCTAATGAGTCCTGGGAATACCGACTAGCCAGTATCATGAGAAAGAAAAACTAGAATAGATGGCTCCGTCCCACAGCAATCTACAACAGCATCTTACTCAATATATATAATAGAAAATATCTTCGCCAATTTGAAAGAAAAGCATGTATTTTTTCAAAATATTCTTTTTTTCAAACCAGATTCCATCCCAGCTGCTGCTTCCGCCGGTGATCTCTCCCAGCACCAGGCTGGAGGGCTTGCAACCGACTGGAAGGGCTTGCGGCCAGTTCCTTGCCACCAAAGCCAGAGGCCAGAGAAGGGACCACAACTGCCCCTTAAGAATTGAACTCTTTGAAGTTTGAATATGTAAGGAACACAGACCAAGTCTAATTCCCTGATTTTCCACTTATCTTTTTTCTTCTCCCATACAATGGCTGGAGGCCAGGGATGCTATATCACAGAGGCAATTTTATTTATGTTGAGACAGTCTTGGTAGGCAGTCAGGCCAGACTCAAATTCACAGGCTGCTTCCTCAGTCTCCCAAGGGCTGGGATTGCAGGGTGCACCACCATGTCTGGCCCTCCCAGCGCTCTTCTAATTTTTTTATTCTGAGATGAGATCTCACAAAGATGCCAAGGCTGCCTCAAATTTTTGACCCTCTTTCCTCAGCCCTCAGACTAGCTGGGGTTACAGGCATATACCAACACACCCAGCTTTTTTTTTCTACTTCTGAAAGCCACACTTTAAGTTAAAATTTTCTGTTCTGTAAATTTCCATTTGTCAAAAGATACCAGAAAAAATAATTATATCTTCTCAGGATAAAAGAAAACAGCTCTTCATAGAAGTCTTTTCTCTCTCTCTCTTTCATTTCTTTCTTTCTTTGTTTCTTTCTTAAATGTCAATGATCACAAAAACTTCTGGTTTCTCTTCATTATAGACCTGCATTGCTGAGTATGTTATTGCTTTGACTTCTGTTCCCTGAGGTTAGGGTTAGAGAAAAAACACATAGAAAGACATGAGAATCAGAATTATGAACTTTAGCAACAACTGGCAAAAATCAAAATTTTACAATTATTGCAAAATATTAAAAACCCACATGAATCAATTATCAAATTAATCCATTATCATGTGCTGATCTCATAAAAATGGTGTCAGCTTATGTAAAGAGGAAAGAATGCTTAACTAAGAGAAGAGAAAACTCTAACCAGGCTTTGGTTAGAGCAATGACATTCCTGCCTCAGCCTCCCAAGAGCTAGGATTACAAATGAGACGGGATTACAAACACATGTCTAGCTCAACTGTAATGTGGTTATAGCCTCCTAAGTGGCTCTTCTGCTTCCATTTTCATCGTTTTATGATATATTCTTAGTTATTTAAAAACTCAAATCAGGGGCTGGGGAGATGGCTCAGTAGGATAAGTGCTTGATTGGCAAATGCAAGGATCTGAGTTCAATCCC